CCGACTCGGTCGGGGGGGCCCGGCCCGCCCGCCCGCCCGCCCGGCGCTCACCCACCCATCAGCTTGCCTTGCCTGCCCCTCCGCCCGCTGGTTGCCTGCTTGCCTGACCATCGCCTGCCTCCAGCCTCCAGCCACCTCCTGCGTGGCTTGCTTCATCCTTCTCTCCTCCTCGTCCTGACCACCATCCTCTCCGCCTGCCCTCGCCGTGACGGCATATCGCGCTACCCGTGCTGCCTGCTCCTTCTCGATCCGCCACTCGACCTCGACACCGCTCGATAGCGCAGCCAACCTCACCCACACCGGGAGCGCAGGTCGTCGGCACAGGCCCACTCTCCTTCTCTTGCTCGCTCTGCCAGCGTAAGATCCCAGGCCATCTTCAAGCATCGCCACCTGGGCATCGTCATCGATCGGCCTCAGATCGACTTGTCGAGTTGCAACCTCCCTTGACGGCGGCTTCTACCAGCATCTTGAACGCCTGCTTCCTGCCTAGATCCCTTCGCCTCGTGGCCTCTGCGCTTCACTTCGCTGAGCGACTGCAGCCTCCGTCGACCCCATCTTCCGGCCCTCGTCACCGCACGGCCACCGCTCCTCGTCGCCGACACATCGTCCATCCCCGTCCCGGCCCCGCTCCGCTCCAGCGATCTCAGGGCAAGGGCGACGCCCCGGGGCGCCATGTCTGCCGGTTCGCCGCACCCGGAGGACGTTGCGAAAATCTCGCAGCTGTCCTCCATCAACCCGGACTCGATCTTTTCGCTGCTCCGCGACCGCTTCTTTTCCTCGCTGCCCTACACGGCCCTCTCGGACTCGATCCTCGTCTCGGTCAACCCGTACGCCTCGAGCGGCAACCGCAACAGCGATGACACGCTGCGCGAGTACACCCGCAACTACCGCGAGACGAGCAAGCAGGCGCGCGGGCCAGACCTGCCCCCGCACATCTTCGGGCTCGCCTGCGACGCCTACTTCTACATGAGGCGGACCGGTCAGGACCAGAGCATCCTGCTGGCGTGAGTGGGCGCGGCGTGACGTCAAGCTTCCCTTGCAGCAGCTACCCGGCGCACAGGATATGCGATGCTGACGCCCCTTGCTCCTATCTGCCCTTTTTCGGGCCTTCGTCCTCTCGGCAACCCCGCAGCGGCGACACGGCGAGCGGCAAGAGCGAGCTGCGGCGCCTGGCGGTGCGGACGCTCATCGACCTCAGCGTGACGGCGCCCGGCAAAAAGGGCTCCAAGCTGGGCGTCCAGATCCCGTCGGCCGAGTACGTGCTCGAGTCGTTCGGCAACTCGGGCACGCTCGAGAACCGCAACGCCTCGCGCTTCGGCAAGTACACCGAGCTCCAGTTCAGCGAGCAGGGCCGGCTGATGGGCGCCAAGACGCTCGACTACTACCTCGAGCGCAACCGCGTCGTCTCGGCGGCGGGCGGCGAGCGCAACTTCCACGTCTTCTACTACATGGTGTCGGGCGCCTCGGACGAGGAAAAGGAGTACCTCGGCACCGGCGACGGCTCCGGCTTCCGCTACCTCGGCCAGGCGTCGAGGCACAAGGACGCGGTCCACGAGGACGCGCTGCGGTTCGGCCGCTTGAAGCAGGCCTTCAAGAACGTCGGCTTCTCAAAGCGCCACGTGGCGTCCATCTGCCAGGTGCTGGCGGCCATCCTGCACCTGGGCAACATCGAGTTCCACTATGACCGACACCACACGCAGGACTCGGCGTCGGTGCGCAACGCCGACGTGCTCGAGAGGGCGGCCGACTTCCTCGGCATCCCCGCCAAGGCGCTCGAGGAGGCGCTGACCTACAAGACCAAGATGATCAAGAACGAGGTGTGCACCATCCTCCTCGACGCCGACGGCGCCTCGAACCACCGCGACGACCTGGCCAAGTCGCTCTACTCGCTCCTCTTTGCGTGGATCAACGAGAGCCTCAACGAAAAGTTCTGCCGCGACGACTTCGACACGTTCGTCGGCATCCTCGACCTGCCGGGCTTCCAGAACCTCTCGCGCGGCAACTCGCTCGACCAGTTCTGCGTCAACTTCGCCTGCGAGAGCCTCCACCGCTACCTGCTGCGCTCCGTCTTCGAGCGCAACCGCGACGAGTACGCCGACGAGGGCATCACCTACCTCTCGCCCGACATCCCCTACTTTGACAACGCCGAGTGCCTGCGGCTGATGACCAACCAGCCGGGCGGCCTGACGCACATCATGGACGACCAGGCGCGGCGGATGCCCAAGAAGACGGACCACACCATGATCGAGGCGTTTGGCAAGCGGTGGGGCAACCACCCGTCGTTCAAGGTGGGCCCCGCCGACCGCAGCGGCTTCTCGAGCTTCACCATCAGCCACTACCACTCGGCCGTCACCTACACCAGCGAGAACCTGCTCGAGCGCAACAGCGAGGTCGTCAGCCCGGACTTTGTCTCGCTGCTGCGCGGCAGCGGCGGCGACGGCGCCGGCGGCAAGGGCGGCTTCGCCTCGGACCCGAACGCCAGCCCGGGCTCCAAGGTTCCCTTCGTCCGCAGCATCTTCAACACA